AGGAGAGGAGATTTTGGACATAAAACTGGAGTCAGTCACAAACGCGAAAACATAGGTAGGTCAATAACGTCTTCCTTGGGGATCCTGCAGTTCTTCTAGATTCAGAAAGTTTTCCAATTCGGACTCTGTTTCTATCGAAGAAGTCACAATTCCACGCCACAATCGGTGTCCAACCCGAATAGGCATAATTTTGAACAGTTATCGTGTGAAACAAGCTTCAAATGCCTTCGCAAAATCTATTAAACGCATCCACACTCCCACTACGTCAGCTTCATCTGCGTATTCGGAAACAATAATACTATCGACTCTCGCAAGAGAAACCTATCTAAACATGCCCCTGAAATAGGCCATCTTTTGTCCCATTCTCGTGCTAGAAAGCTAGTAATCAAATAATTCATTACATACAACTGACGTAAGACTTACCGCTCTATTAATGGTAAGACCAGTCCTGTCCACTCTTAAAATTTACTTATTAAATCATACATAGGTAAATTATCAAAACATAGCATGTTGGTTCAATCTGAATTTCAATAATATTGTGTATAAATGATATTGGCATTACCAAAATATACATTTCTGTCTTTACACGACATGAGACCCCAATAAGATTGGGTGCAGTGCTTCTTAATCTTTAAGAATATAATTCCATGATTGCTGAAATAGTTAATTTCCGGATCTGATTTTATATCTTTATATGATACATAAGTGCGTGTAAGTACTCAACTAATACGGTTAGATTGGAAGCATTTGTTTAACTTTATAAAACAGTGGAGAACATTGCTTAGTAATTCCAAGTTCTCTCATCATGAGTGACCTCAGTTTTATTTTAGCAAAACAGACAGGCAAAATATCATTTTCAATCATTACGAGCGTTTCCTCTTTCCCACGCTCCCTATAAAACGACTTTCCCATGAATTTAAAATTACACAACCGAGACTGTCGGCAAAAACATCACGAGTCTTACACGCACCGCAATCTACAGAAGCGATATAATGTGAATGCAGCTGCGTTTGACGGATTGACGATTCCTGTTTCTGTTCGTTGGGATGAGTCCAAGAGGCGCATGTCGGCTGAGCCGTCGTTTTTGGCGATGTGGTGCTTTTTCTTGCCTTCGTTCTCGGAATATGGCGTGATGGGGGAACATCTATCGGGCATATACTGGTGGGCTAACCGCAGCGAGGGCGGTCACGTTATTTAGTCATATGCGACGTATAATAAGTAACAGGTGATGTTTCTTTTTTTCAAAGAGTTCGTAATATTATTATTTGACTAGAGAGATACTTCCAACAGGTGTTCAATATTTCAGTGGATATTTAACGTAATAATATTAATTTCAATTTATAAGAGTGTAACAAGTTAAGCCAATAAATAACTTGCTACTGTTATGGTAAGTGTGGTAAAAGCGCAAAAATGGCACTTCTTTTGTGTCTGAGTGTTGAATTGGTCTGTACATATTGATTCACTAAAATTCCAAAGACGTCGTTTTGAATTCATTTGGGCGGAATCATATTTGTATTTTTAATGTTTCTTACAATTGGTTGTACAGGCGAAAAATATTATACATGCTTGTTTTTTTTTCATTATCATGGAAATCTTGAACTTCTATCCCACTGCCTTTGTTCGTCACTCTTGCCTCTGGTATGTGACGAACATGAGAGTTAATGTTACGAAAGATAAGAGATCCAAGACTAAATAATATTATTTACTATTTATTTTCATTGTTACTCGGTTCTTGTTTCAGTTAAACAGTAAGTGAACGAAAGCTAGGTGATGGTTACGTTTAAAGTACGACTCGTCTTGAGACATCGAATAGAGGGTTGATTAAGAAATTAAGATCTGACCCTATCTAGTAGTGAAGACAATTGTAAGGTCTTCAGATTTTTTTTGTTTTGACTTTTTGTTTTTCGAATAAAATGTGTAGGATAATTAATTGGTTTTCCCCAATCACATGCAAGTAATTGCCGAGGAATTATGCAGTTTGTTAGGATTACTATTATCAATAGAAAGAAGCTCCGGCAAAATTTGATATTTAACTTGATTTTTTAATCTAGAGCCTCTTGTATTGTTTCTCTTGAAACGGCGAAAATCAGATGATAGTGTAGTTAGACAAAACCAGGTCAGTCATAGAACGTAGATAATTGACGGATATTATCTCTAGAAAACTAGAAAATTTATTAGAAAAAATCACGTTTGTGAGTATGGCTAATTTTTAAAAAAGAACTGCTTTAGTGCAAAATTATTAACTAGTGGTTGCAATTTGGACCATAATTCATTTTTTTTATTGATATTGGAGGTTCTTTGTCGAAGAGTATACTTTTATAATTTAATATGCTATAATTGGTTATTGAATTTTGGTTCCTATTACATTGCGAGCGTGTACATACGTCATATGGCGTGTAATTTGTCTTAATTCTAGAAATACCTTATTAATTTGAAAAACGACTATAAAAATGTTTTTTTGCAATCCAAGAACCCTGATATTGTTTCTCCCCTCAAATTCAGTCACAAATCTGGTTGAATTAGTGTGGAGAGTACAGAGAAACAAGGTTAGTCGTGACTAGTAGTCCGTTATTGTCATAATTGGTGATTGGTTTTTTAATATGAAACTTAATATTAACATAATATCGGCTTGCGTTCTTAAGATGCGTCTAAGTATGAATATTATTTCAAACGTGCTGTGTAAGAGATCGACCGAGTGTAACTACTTTGTATTAGTCGTTTATTAATCGAGTTTATTTTCTTTGATGCTTTAGATCTTCGGCGATATTAACATTGATTCCCATTAAAATTCTATGATTTGTATTTAAATATAACTTCTATAGAATTTATCTCTTTGTCTTTAGAAGTTGGGTTCATTAGTAGTAATGTTCATTGATAGCTTTTGAAGACATATGGTCCTGATGTCCGTAATATTCTTAATGTAATATTTGATGCTTGAAATCAAACCGCTTACGCCACTGTATAATTTGTGATGAAATAATGAGAATGATGGATTCTTGTTTTACAGGCCGCTCAAGAAGATATAATAACCGCCAGAATCACTGGGACGTCCACACTATTATCACAATGAGAAAATTAATAGACATTTTCCGGGCATTTAATGCCCAAGGATACAAAATAAATCAGCTTCCAAATGGTCTTTTAAAGTGATCATTAGTTGGCGTATGAAATTAAATCTCGTACTTCCAAGATGAACAACTCCATATTCGATTGCAGCCAATCCACGGTCGGCGTGAGCGTGGGGCAATGAGATAGGTGGATTTTGAAAAAGTCTGAAAATTAAATTAATCCAGATCCATTAAAATAATTTCTCAATCTTGAATGACTTCTGTTTATAGTTGATTTTTTAAAAATTAAATTATCATAGAGCAGAATTTTAAGTACTCATGAAATTATTGTAAAAGTTAATTATTTCAGAGCACATTTCAACCACCATGCAAAACTTTTAAGTGTCTTCAAGCATACAAGTCGAATTATTGTTATTCTAAACTCAATTCATAAGGGCAATGAAACGTTTTGTAGGTACAAAAATAACCAATGTACAAAACCCTTTTCTGACTTCTTTGAACAGAATATTTTTTCTTGAAGTTTAAACTTAATATCATTAACAAATTTTGAAGCAGAATATCATCAAAAACATTAACTAATATCTACTACAATAATGCTTAGACCTTGTATGTAGTGTTACTTTATATAAATAAGCTTAGATTATATATAAGAAAATTTGGATACTATTGCATACTGTGCTTCGTATTGACGTTCAAAACGATGTTGTCGAAAGAACTACAAATCTGACAACTTTAGTTTTCTGAATGTGCTATAATATAAATTACACTAATATCAAATTATTATACTATGTGTAAAAAAGTATTATATGTTTTCATTGACAAATTAATAACAGTATAATAAAAATTTGAAGGAAATTGTTTTTAATGATAATTAATATTCTTCGCGTCTTTTTAATTGAACGTCTCGAATGTTAGAATGAAAATGAGACTTCTCGGGAATATCAGAGTAGAAGAATAATGCTTTTCCATTAACTATTTCAAAATAATATTGAAGCTGCATTTCAGAAATTATAATAATGTAATTTCCGAAAGTGTAATTTTTTTCAATTGAATGGTGAGATTGGGCATTTGTCAAAAATGGAAATAATTCTCAAAATGGAATTCTCAAAAATGGCTACTGAGCAATGAAAGGAAGGTAATTCATTGATTTAAATTGAATTGTGAGTGGAGAAACTGCTTACCGCAGGCTAAATATGCTGTATGGAAAGTAACAACTCCTACATATGTCGATGTATAAAAATACTTCTATCAACTAGTTCTTGTATTTAAAAAATAATTCTGTTTGCAGTAACGCCATCGGACTTCCTCATGTTGTGAACAAAAAAACGCTTAAATCAAAAGTAAGTAGTATATGCAAACTTCCTAAAACACCTTTCCTTCTGAAAATACCCTCCGTTTTTCGCCAGTAATTGAATTGATTTTTGAAAGATTTGGAAAATTTTGTCTTCATTGTTTGGTTTGTGAAAAAGTTATTATACTACTCAAAACAAAAGAAAAACCCACCGCCTGAAATGTTAATTGTTGTTGATTGATTGATTGATTTGCGTTGTCTGTCACGTCAAGAGATACGATCATTAGTCCCGGTAGTATAATAGATGTTTTATCCCGTCAGATAGTTCATCTCACGCAGGAGGGTGAGATTCGGGGCTGACCTATCGATTGACTTGTGGTGAATTTCCAGTAATCGCCTTCAGCGGAGCCCCACACCAGTTGGGAGATCTAAGATCTCGACTGGTCTCCCGCCAAGTAGAAACATGAAGAAATAATAGAAGTTTTCTCCGTCATCTTAATATTAAATTGGTGGAGATGACTTCCATTATTTCTTCATGTAATGACGTCAACAATACCGCATCAAAAACCATACAAGTAGAAACATTGTTGGGTGGCAGCGGCCTGTGATTAGGCAGTAGCCGCCAGCGCCTAGGCATCAAGCCAGTGCCACCGCTGCGTCGTGTTATAAACTACGTACTTCTAACGTTATGTAAGGTTAAAATATGTGGGACGTTTTCTGTAATATTAATATTTTTTTTGCACAACTTTGTAAATATGCAAAAGTTTTTATTCGGCTAATATATATATATATATATATATATATATATATATATATATATATATATATACACGTCACAGGCTGCATACGTATAGCGTAGGGTTCATACTACGCACTTTCGTGTGTCTATCTACCATATTGGTCCTTTCACCTTTCTTCTCAAATAACCACAAAATACAGGGTAAATAATGAATTTCCACCTTTCTCACATTCTTCCTTCCTTTAAACCCGACATCTCCCTAATAAATGTTCCCAGTCTTCCTCTTCCATCTCACAGATGCTATATTTTCCCCTGACTATTTAGCCAGTATATACTCGCTCTAGTTTCACTTCCTAACCTATCTTGTTATCCTTCGTCTGTCCCTTGCCTTACATTTCCCCTTTTAAATAATTTGGAATATCATCCAACTGAATAATTGTATACCATTTGTTGTAAGATGGCTTTCTTAGATTTTCGTTCCCGCAATAACTTATCTTCATCCCTTTGAATCATTTTTTTTAAGTCAATCCCCTTTCTTCTTAATCTTGACACTTTCTTCAACGAATAGTCTTTATAATTACAAAACCTTTCCTTTCCCAATCAGATGTCTCAGTATCTTTGATTTCCTCCATTACCCACCAAAGTTACTTTAATAACTCGTTTTCCGTCCCTCTCTTAATTCTTTCCGCAAACTTACATGCAATTTTGCCAATCTCTATTCTCGTTTTTTGCTTCTTTGTCTCCCATCTTATCATGTAATCGGGTGGGGAATTCTCTTTTTCTAGGATCTAACTTCGAAATCTTTCATGCCATCAAATTTCCTCCTTTCCCTCCATCCCCAAATTTCCTCCCCCACCTCCAAATAGTACCAACAATACTACACTTTCTCCTAATTATACCCCACACTGGTTTCATAGCTAACCATCACCTCCTTACTTATTTCTGATACTTGCTTTTCATAGCCCCCCCTTGTTAAGTCAAAACCCTAAATATTTATAGTCGTTCACAATCTTTAAAATACTTTCTTTCCATATAATTTACTCACATTTACTCTTCTTTCTTCCCTTTTTTAACTCCATGAGTTTGGTCTTATCAGTATTTAATTCCAGTTCTACATGCTCTAAAAATGTCTCTAACATCCACAACATCTTGTTCAAGTCCTTGGCATTTTTGGTTAACAGAAGAAGTGTTTGTATAATACGAATAAAATAAGAATGTAGTTGGCATTTGTGCGGATGTGTAGTACGAATAAGATTAGAAACTAGTTGATATTTGGGTGTGAAGGGGAGCGGTGTTCCCGCATTCTGCGCGCTCTAATCACGTGCTCTCGGCACTAACTAGGCAAAGAGATGAAAGGAGAATCTCGTAACAACGTTGTTCGTAACATTAGTTCCCTAAGTTTATGTGACAAAACGTGCAAATGCCGAAGCTTCTGTGTCACGGGAATCGATTCCTTCCTTCATTTCCGGTATTATGAGCATCGGGTCACATACGCTGATTGCAAGTGCGCAGTACGGGCTCCCCCATCCGGACGCCTGCGGTTGGCCAAGGCGCCAGTCATGCGGCTCATGGATCAACAGACAACAGGAACAGGAGCCGCGAATAACAGGACGGCATTGCGGTATGAGCCATCCCCTGGCCCCCGCCCTGTTTTGCACACGGCGCCTCATGACAAGCATCGCATGCGCTCGCCACGGTTGTCACGTGACCCGACATAACCTCTCGACCCCCTTCCAGGGACGCTCACACTTTAGTAGTCCTTGCTACTGCTAAGGCCCGCACACTCGGAACGACGCCGTCTCCAACTTTTCAATGATCTTCCAAGTTCATCCAAGGGTAATGTGGAGAACTGATCGAGCCATTATTTCTATAGCCAGAACTTTGTAATATAGGCCTTCAGCCCTGCTAGAACTATGTGCACATGTATTAGCACAAGAGATACTGAATAAACTAGGTTAAGCAAAACAGCGTAGGTATGTGTTTCGCCTATACTCCAAGCCCTGAGGAAACTTCTTCCTGTAGGGCGTAAGTAGTCCCAATCCCTCTCAGCGAATTGCTCTCCTACTCCTCAGAACATCCAATAGCTATGCCCCCCCGGTCATACCATAACATCTGTATCGTTGCTCCCTAGGTTACGGCGTTGGGGGTCTTCACGTGACCACGAAATGTCAACTACAATCTAATTTTATTCGAATCTCAATTTTTTATGAACTAATGAACAATTTGATAAATTATTTTCTCGTTTCATTGAACAGAAATACTACAAATACAACGTAAATTCCAACACTAAACCAGACCAAACAGATGAGTTTGTGGAAGTGAATCCCGTTGGAGTACCTGATCCCATAATGGGAAAAGATAAAGAAAAAGCTAGAGAGTCTCTAACGACTGAATACTCAGATCCAAGCGAAACATCAACAAGTAAGTGTTCTGATTGTATACAGTAGTGCAAATGAGTAAAAAATAGGACAAGCTATTGTTTCGTACGTATGGGTACACAATTACTTTCATAAGACTCGCACACAAATTACCGAATTCTGTATTACAGCGGCTTGGTATCGCACTATGCCACAGTGCATTTTGTGTTGCTTGGCGATGAGGCTTGTTTTGTGGCGCAGACAGACAATTAAGCCGGCCAACGCAATTCTCTATTCAACAGAAAAAATTGACGCGAATTTAATGTACCTACCTGCAACACAAAACAGTTTCTTTTAAAATGTATATATTCCATTTTGCTTTCTAGATTTAGAAGACGATTAAGTTTCGACGAACGTTCCTGAAAACTATATTACATGTTACTAAGGGAATTTTCATGAGAAATTCTATAATCTGAAGCTATTCTTCACAAAAGTAATGATGGAAAATTATGTTCATCGATTATTTAAAATAAATGTAGTAAAAGTGCAATTAAAATATTTTTACAATTTGAGTGTTCTTATAAGACAATGAAATACTTTTTTGTACGTATTTTCAAAAATGATCACGCATTATTTGGTAAGACTACTAAAATTGTAAAAATACTTAAAATTTCAATGTTAAGTATATTCGTTTAGAGTAATTGGTTTTTGGCATAAAAAAATCTCAAGATATGTAAAAGACCCAAAAAACTGACATTTGTAACTTTCGAAATTTCAATTGTTTAAATTAACTCAAAAAACATTTTCCTCATTATCTATCCTAAATGTATTCTATGTTTTCATCAAAGTCATTCATAATATTCGGAAAGTTTAATTTTAATTAAATTACTGAAGATCAGAAAACGTTTGAGACTGAGAGTATTTTTTATTATTTCCTAGACACAACATTTGACAACACTGAAGGTGTTTTGGTCTCTTTTATTCTTTGCCTTTTAAAACGTTTGTTCAGCGAGAAGTATTTATATGTCAGGAGACGGTGAATCTTTTCTAAAATACGTCGACAAAGCAATGAAAATCCAAAATAAATTTCCTGTGTGAGCCTATAAATTGAGACATTCATGATTTCAGTGCAGAAAATCACTAAAAATAACAGCAAATACAGCTTTTATTTACCTTCTTTCTATAAATATACTCCAATCAATATTCTTTTATTTAAAAAATAATTATGTTTGCAGAATACGCCATCGGGCCTCACGTTGTTGATACGAAGAATGTAAGTAGTATATCATATAAGAAAAGTTCAAAAATAAGTATAATAATTAAACTTCGTGAAACACCTTTTCTTCTCAAAATACCCTCCGCTTTTCGCCTATGTGTCAATCGATTTTTGAAAGTTTTATCTTCATTGTTTGGTTTGGGGAAAAATTATATTACTTAAAACAAAAGAAAAAACATATGAAAGGTTAGTTGTTGTTAATTTATTGGCTTGTTGGCGTTTCCGGTCACATCAAGAGATACGATCTTTAGTCCGGGAAGTATAATGGATCCCGTGAGATAGTTCTTCTCACGAAGGATGGTGAGATTCGGTGCTGACCTATAGACTGACTTGTGGAGGATTTGTAGGTATCGCCCTCAGCGAAGCCCCACCCAATCGAGAGATCTTGTCTCCCGATAAGAAGAAACTTTGTTGAGTGGCAATGGCAACTACCCCATTGCCGTCACGTAGCTGCCGTCGCTGCGCCTTATTTTTATAAACTACGTACTTCTAATGTTAAGGTTAAAATATGTGGGACTTTTTCTACAATATTATTATTAATTACGAGTAAGTTTGTGTTCTATCGTTTGCTTTTGGCTGAAGTAAAAGGTGCAATATAGTAATAATATTAACTAACCGTTATTAATAATGCAAGAATGCAGTATCTGCTGTTGTAGCATTCCTATATTTTTTTTGGTTTTAGGTCATCCGTAATTTTGTAGAAGTGTAATAACTATTTTCCAAAGAAAATACGTAAAATAAACCTTTTTTTTCAAATTTTCAAGAAGCAGGGCTTTTGATTAAAGTATTTTCAATAAGACTCTGGTTATTTTTACGTTATTAGTGCTGCCCATATGACCTCAAAGTCTTCAGATATTTCAGCATTTGTATTTGGAGATTATATTTTTCGTTTTTTGCCATGTGGATTCATTTACATTTTAGTTTGTGATATAATACTTAATAGTTTCTACTTGTAATATATGAGGCAGTTTGGTCATTCCTTTTCTGATAATATTCTCGAAAGATTAAAAGTTTATAGCATAATAGATATTAAATACGTAACTCTGTAGGTGAATGCCTAAGGAAGTGAGATATTTGTAAAGAATTTACTTTGATAAATTATTTTCTCGTTTCATTTAATAGAAATACTACAATTACAAGGTTAATTCCGAGAATAAACTTGATACAGAAGTGGAGTTTGTGGATGTGAATCACGCTGGGGCAAGTGACCCCATAATGGAAAAAGATAAGGGAAACCCCAGTGAGACACGTTCCACTGAATACTCAATACCTAGCAAAGGATCAACAGGTAAGTGCACTGATTTTATACAATAGTATTCATTTTTTGCAAAATCTTTAATGTAATATCCACGGAAATTAAACTACTAATAACCACTAAAAAAATATCGAATAATTTTTTATGATGGGTATGTGCACGACGAATGTATAATCTAGACTAGTGTTTTCAACCCTTTTTTGTCATGCCTCACCTAAACCTTTCTGAAATTCTTATGCTTCTTTGTAATATATACATAATTTTTAATATTAAAAATTGAATTGTACACTAAAAAACTTTAATGATATACTTTAAAAATCAATCACTAGAAAATTGTTATTAAAACACATAATCGTGTTCAAAAAATGGGAAGATATAAACTAAACTTTCATACTGCGTTATTAAATTTACGCAGTTAATGCAATCTAAAATATAAAAAATTAAACGTCAAGCTTTTCAACAAGTCACATGCTGGCAAGTCATGTTTGCTACGAGGTCGAAAGCAGAACGCAGGTTTTCTACGAGGTGTACGCAGCTGGTGTAGCGACTGAGAGACACTATTTCATTAACTTTAACTCCGTACACGTCCATTTTCGTATCCACCCCACCCCTGTTTATGGTGAGTCCACGTTGGGGAACTCTGATCTAGGGAGCATCAAGTATGCAATGTTGTGTATGTTCCCAATCGGATCGATCCGGGATTTCTGGAGCGGGCGAAACTACGTGTATTACAACCATGCCTTAGGCCACACAATAACATTCAATAGTCACAGTTACTATACATTTCGCACAACCGTAAATACTCTTGTTGCTAATAACCACAGGGGAAAGTTACAAAAAAACGCGTTCATGCAAAATACGACGTCAATATAAAACAACCCCATGACGTTAACCCCGTGACCAAGGTAACAAAAACCCATTCATGTCAATTCACTTCTGTTGGAAATCGAGATGAATAAATCGGAGTTTGCAACATGTGCGAGATTTTTGTGGTTGTAGAATTCGTAAAATATAGCGCACTCGTTCTTTTAGAAGTTGCATGCTATTTACTCTTTGTACAGACTAACCACCCACTGCACGCACTTGTTGCAAAAATAACCAGTGTACTGTGAATGCCCTCATACAAGGAAATTGATGCTCAGTTAACTCGGTACACATTTATATTTATTATATTTTGTCTCTTTTGACTCCCCGTTATTGTTATGGCTAACCAGAGATGTTGCTTTACAGTTCTAGGGCACGTCTTCACAATAGTCATCATGGCCATGGCTGTTCTGCTATAGAGAAGAAAATTCAGCTGTGTGCTGGGGCCCGATAAAGAAGCAATCCTTTTAATGACTATTATGGCACTTGAAAACAAATAACATCTCACTGGATGTCAGATCGGGTCTGAACAGTTTTTTTGTGATTGTTTCAATTTCCAAACTGTAAAATTTTAATTTATTTTCTTACTATGTTCTATTAATTTGTTCTGTGAATTTTTATGTGATATTAGAGTGATATAAAAGCAGCTGTTGTGTCTTGAGTTTGTTACAGCAAAAAATTACTTTTAATTGCTGTATTTTAACTCACATCTGTTGTTTATTAGTGTTGTATTTAAACATTTTCACTGATTAATTTCTGTAATATATTTTTATTTCAATAGTTATAGTAAATTAATAATGGTACTTCAAATATTAAATTGTTAAATGTTTAATTAATGCTCACTGTATGTTACAATAAAAATATGAATATTAATAAAGCAGAAAAATTAAAATGAGTTCTAGAGAAAAAAAATTTCTTCAATATTTTCCTTTTTGTTTACTGTATCTTACTATTGATAGAAATATCGAATTGTACCAGTCCCACATTTTTATAAAACTGCCAAATAACTTTACTATGGTATTGAATGTATGATATATTTATAAAAAATATCCACTCATTAGAGCAAAGCATCAAGCCAATCGAAATTCTTTCCAGCTAATACCCCTTAAAATAACAAAGCCTTATAGTTGTTATCCGTTTATGGTTTTTCCAGCAGCCAGTAGTGATATTTCAAATGAGTTATAATTTTCTAAATGAATATCGTAAATATAATACATATTTTTTCTTATCACTTGGAAATGAAAATTTCGTTAATCATTTTGTATAGGTACGGCGATTTGGTCATAAATGTTCGTTTGTAGAATTCTTTCTGAAGGGCAACTGAATTTATGACATTGACCTTTGTGTGTAATTGTAATGTCCTAAAACATATGGAAAGTTTTTACAAAAATATTTACATTTTTTAAAATACTGTTAAGAGAAAAGATTCAAAAGATACTTCTTTGTCGAATTAATGCCAGGACTTTTCATAAGAAGCTAACTGAAATATATACAGATGTCTCAGAGTAAAGATAACTAACTTCTAGAGCAGATAAAGAAGTCGAAGATGCTTACGTTTTGCCAATTAATTTTTTAGAGCTTTTATCTAGCCGACAGCTGGTTACTTTTTTTTATCCCGATTAGACGCGTATTCGACCAGATACTAGACACTAACGCACTTGCAGGCTCTAGGATCATCAAACGCGAGGCACTTCGCGACAACGCATACAAGAGAGGCAAGGGACGCACAACCGCAAGCCAAGACTGGACGCGAACCCGCAACTTTCCGAAGCGAAGCGCTGAGTCGGTACACACTCTTAGCCACCTGCCTTTCATGTTCGCACCAACAAAGGTGCGGTGGTAAATTTCATAGGACATAAACTCCTAGGGCATGAAGAGGGGTCAAAGATGAACACTTTTGACAATAAACAAGTGGTGGGAAATTTCGTACAACGAAGTTAAGCATGCCACATTTTCGCCTGCATTTTACACCAATACACAAGGAATGGAGTTTGGAAGGTACACAAAATGACTGAATGCTTCGGATCTTAATCTGACAAACACTAATGCATGATGAGTTGCATATCCGCCAGGCGAAAATGTAACAGTAACGACTCACCGTAAGTAGTACGTTTAAGGAAATGTCCTTTTTAATTAAACATAAAAGTAGAGTCAATGAAAAATGTATGTATTTATTAAGTGTAGTAAAAATATTGAATATATTAGCATTTCATTGATTTTTTTTTACTTTTCCCTGTTTTAACATTTAATTTCAAGAGCTTTGACTGTAAATATAGTTTTAAGCCAGTGATTATTTGTGAGTAAATACTAATTTGGAATTAAACGTAAACCACAACGTACTTACGTCGATTCGTGATTTATATTATCGGAGGACGAACACAAAAGAAAGAAAAAAACATATGCCACTCATGCACTGTGTAGAAACTGTGCTGGCAAAAGCAGTCTTTAGGATGGTCAAGGAAACAAAGTGAGCAATCAACATTTAGATGTTCGGGAAACGCAGTAATTGTATTGGTCTTTCCTGGAAGCAATGGATGAAAATTAAATAAAATTTCTCCTTTGTTGTTTTAATTCTTTATTTTTCTTCATTTTTTTAAAAGTTTGAAATGAGAGAACTGAAAACTAGACAGTGAATATAAACTAACTGCCGCGCGTTCGAGCGGGCTCACGGCCGCTGGAGCCCGAGAGCAACATATGCGCGGGGTGGGACGCGGGGGGGGCAGGGGTAGCCGAGCAGGCCGAGGCCCATGGCGAGGGGCCCGGGGGTGAGGGCGGGGTGGCGGGGAGGGGCGCGACGCCGTAGGGCGCGAACGAGGCCATGGAGGAGGCGACGACCGCGTCGCGCGCGCTCTGCAGGTGGTCGGCGGAGGCGAGCAGCGCGCGCAGCCGGGCCCTCCATCTGCAGCAGCTGCTGCGCCAGCAGCGCCACGTTGGGGGCCACGCCCACCCCCGCGCCGGCGCAGCGGCCCAGGCCCACAAACGCTGCGCAAGACGCCCGCGTCCATTTCACACACATTTTTCAGTATGTTGATCACATGATATTCTATTAGTAAGTGTATGTATAATACAGCCTAATTTGTATGTATGTACATGTATAATACAGTATAGATTGATATATATATATTATATATATATATATATATATATATCAATCAAAAAATAGATGTCAATGGCTTAGCAAAAAAGTTAGTTTTTGATGAAAGAACAACATAGGCACCAATAAAATAATTTATAACATGGGTTTAGGTGTACAAGACACCCCATAAACCCTCCATTTTTGGGCTTTTCCTGCTATTTATTAGAAAATTGCCGTCAATTGACTTTTCGTTCACAAGGACCCACAAAACATGGATTCTGACTACACGTGATAAAGGAAGATATTTACTAAATATAGGAACAATATTTATCCATAATCTGGGCTGTCCAGGTGCGCTGCGTCGAAAGCTGAGGTGCAGACGTTTCGACCAACATATCTTTGCCTTCTTCAGGGCCATAGTATCTCACTACAGCTCTAAAGAAGTCCATGATATGTTAGTCAAAATGTCGGTACCTCAGCTTTCGACGCGGCATCTCACAGACAGGCAAGATCATAATTCTGGCCGCGGATGACTATGATATCAATATTTATCCATTTTTTCTTCACCTGGCTCCGGCAATAATAGTTTAACTGTCAACATTTTCCCACTTTCTGACATACGATTGAAATACTTTCTCTTCTTTCGAAGTAAGGGTGAAAGTAAAAGTTGTTATAAGGCAAAATGTGAAAAGCAAATATTTAATTTTGAGCATCATCTTCCTTCAAGTATTTCTGTCGTATGACATCAGCTGGGTTACAAATAGTGACTTTTGAGAATTCAGTCGGAACGTGCAGTACGAGAGTAGGTGTACAAGCATTTTTCAGTCAAAATTGAAACTCATTGTTTTCTAAATTTTCCCGAGTTTTTGGATGTTAAACGAAACCCGAAACCTCTAACTCGCCCAAAGGCACTCAAATTTCCATTTCCTGAGCGCATTGAAGATTTGTAATAAAGATAAATATTTTTCTTATTTCATATACATCTAACAAAACCTGTGACACCTCTCAAAAGGTAGGAGGCTGCATAGTTTTCTTTAAATGTTTGCGCGCATTGTGAATTAGAAGTATGTATAATTCTAATCCGAAAGTATACATGTTATATTATCTGCAATAATTGTTAAGGAAAGATGAAAATTCACTGCTGCTGCTCCGCTGTTCTTACCCTCTACTCCAATAAGCACGTTGGCCGCTAGCAACAGCGGCGCAAGTGATAGAATCTGCTGGCAGAAAGAACACGTCCTCAACATTTATTTCAAATAATTAATTAACAACTCGTATAATGAATTGTTTATTTCTAATTACGAGTGTAGGTAGAATGTGTTTTTATATGAATGGAAGAACAATGTTTGGAGAAAATATATGCAATAGATGTTCTCTGAAACAGACTGTAGATTATGTGGTAAAAGTAACTCATCACTACACATATGTCATAACTATTAATTCTGTGAACAGTAGTCCAGCCTTCCACAAAACCTGGGATTAACGCTTTATTTCAATCTGTTAAGGTTTATCCCACCTCGGCAATATCGTGAAAAAGGTACTTATATTGTCGTTTTAGACATTTTAGGAGCGTACATGTTATATACAAAGAAAATCGAACTAATGCCAAAACGGATGAAATTATTATTATTATTATTATTATTATTATTATTATTATTATTATTATCATCATCATCATTATATCATAATCATCATCATCTGAAGAAAGATCGTAGGAGTAGGTTAAGTATCAAATGTATTCCATGTTGCAATCAGCTTCCTAAGACCGCTGCTGCTCCGACATTCGCCTGGCTCTGATAATGGCAACCTCTAACCCCATAAATCTGGTCAGTTGATCCATGAATTTGATTCCGACATGCGCCAACAACTTGCGAATGTCCAACTCAACCAATCAATTTCTGGTGCCCTGTCCCGAATCAAACCGGTGATGACCCAGTCAACAATGCACTCGTTGTAAGGTGGTTGTAAGACGATTACTTGTTACGACAAGAGATCGGCCTACAACCACCTTACAATGACTGCGGTGGGCACAGAGCGCCAATGTTACCGAAATTTCGATTTCGTCCAATGTGGCACATTCGTTCAATTGATTATATGAAGTTTCCCACCGCGGCAACTGCTGTGATCATTAGTGCAGTGCATTATTTTTTTTTTCGTGAGAGATGGCTATGGTCATCCCCCGCCGGACAGTGAGTTTCGGCACCGGCCTTCACGTCAGCTTGCGGGATTTCTCCAGCCAGGTATCGCCCACCATCGGGGTTCAACCCAGCCGGGACAAGTTCTAAGCTCGCGACTGGTCTCCAGCAAAGTGTGGTAGTGTTGTGTGAGTGAGTTTGTTTGTAAGGTTGAGGATAGAGCAAAAAAGAGAAATGAAAGATTGCGCGCGGTCCGTGGCCCGTTTGTTAGAGCACGTCTCCCGCATTTGCCTCGTGTTGATCGGAGAAACCATGGAAAACTAGCACTACAACAGAGCAACCGGCCACTAGACTTCTCCTCCAGACAGTGGCTGAAGCTGGCCTTGCAGAATTATTTTAAACACAAAATTACTTTTACGCTTTGATATAATTACCTATTTTTACATATTTTACCTATTACAATGTTTTTCGTAATGTTTTTGGCATTCTGAAACGGATCATCTCCGATGTGAACTTTATCTTCCTAGACACGTCTTTCCGTGAATCAATGCAATACATTACTGCGCCTGTATAGCCTCCGGACCTTCCCAGAAAATATGGTATAACGTATTCTCCTCTTCTCGGATATCACGAAGAACTCGGAATCAAGTATGTGCGGATTTCTGCGAATCAGAAGTAATCTCAATCTCAT